CAAAAACCTTTGTGCACAAATGCTGTCATATAAAAAGGGGACGAACCCCACCCCCCAACACCCCCCCGCAAAGGGGGAGGGGGGGGGGATTTCGGGGAGTTGAAGTCCACTCATCTTAAAGTGGCCAAGTTTGGACAACACTGGCTTAGGGATTCTTTTCTGTCAAGGTGCCTCATCCTTGATAAACTATGCTTGCTTACTTGAATAGCTTAGCTCAGTAGCACCTGCTATCTAATTCTATAACCTTTAATACTATTGCTAAAGCCTCTATTTTTCCAGTACAGTTATAAATAAACTAAATTCTCATTTTTAAAATTAACTTACTCAAATGAGTTCAGGATGGCAAATAATGTTGCTAAATCTGAATGTTATGTCTAACACCAAGTTACCCAGTGAACTTAATAACAAAGAAGGGGAACCTCATTTCTTTTCCCATCCCTGCAAAAAATACACCAAAATCTCTAAGTTGCTATATATTGCATTCAAGCTTTGTTTTATTTTATTTTTTACTCTTTCCTCAAGATTTGAACTTTGGTGGAGCATTTCTTTAATTCTCCGTATAGATAAGAACATATTGAAAACCTTGCACTTTCTGGATAAAGCCCTTCTCTTTTCAATAATAATAATAATAATAATAATAATAATAATAATACAGTAATAGTACAAATAAATACTATATATTAGGTAGTTTAAAGGCTGTGCTGTTAGACCCCTTACTAGTGTATTCTGTATGTCAGAGATCTTTCATTATTTGTAGAGACTTCTCATAAAATAAGCAAAAGGGTACACGTTAATTTATTTTTGTGGCTTTTAAAAAGCAGAAACCTACAGAAGTTACATGGCTCATATCTGACATCATGCACCACCGGTGGCTGCTGTTAGCTGCATGCTTTTGGGTAATATTCATGTTCATGGTTGCTAGCAAGTTCATCACATTGACCTTCAAAGATCCTGAGGGTAAGTTGATCCAACTTTACTTTTATTACTAATGCAAGTAATTGCTGAACAGTTTTGTGTCCAAAAGAGTGTGAGAGAAATTAAACAGAACTTCTAATTTTGGCTTTTTCTCCCCATTCATTTTGCTGGGTCTAAAATTCAGGTCTAAAAGGTAGTTATGAAGCAGCTTGCCTCTGAGTTGCAAGAGTGAAGTATTTATCTAGCTGATTCCCACTTTTGGGGGGCTTTTTCTACCTCTGTTTTTGGCAAATTTCTAAATGTTGAATATTGCAATTATTCCTTGTTTCTTTGGACCCTAGACACTATCTAGGAAAATCAGTGTGAGACACGGTGATTTGATATGCAAAGTAGAATTCTGAATATATTTTATATGTAAAAGTACAGATACTGAATTATTTTGGCATTTTGTGTACAGTCTCCTTTTCAGATTAACATGTAAAGTAGTACTTGGGCATAGAAGTTAAAATCATTTATATTCTTTCCTGTATGGAAGGTTTTTGCTTAGCTTGGATATATCCCTCTGTATCCATACTCTATACTCTATCCCTGTTCCCTTTCACAGACTAAGTGAATGATTTTAATGCACTGGAAGCACTATACCAAGTTATTGTCTTCCAACTGACTTTGCAATAATTATATGATTTTATGGGGTTTTCCTTTATGCTCCTCCCTCGTCTAAAATTCAGTCCTTGAGGTTAAATGACATCTTTTCAGACTTAGTTTAAAAACCAACACAACCAGACATTGTCTGGGAATTTGAGGAGTTATCCCAATGTATCTAGATGACAAGTTTGGGAAAGCTGGTTGGTTTACTGTCTGCACTAAGGCTATCTGAACCATGGTATTTGTTTTTTAAAGTCATTTGTATTCCATTTAAAATCTTGAATGACAGCCTGATTTGAAGTGTAACTTATTTATAATTATATAATTGTGATCAATTAAATTGATGATGTAGTATGAAGAAAAAAGTTTGCTTTTCTTCAGTTACTCTATTTTCCTCATCTAGTACATGGTGCCAAGCAAGAGCCATTAATACTGACAGCTATAACTGAAGTGGGAAAAGGTCACATAACAAAAGAGAAGAGGCTGCCTGGACAGTTTCAGGTATATAGTAGTGACAGGTCAAAAGGCTAAATAAATGGTATGGTTGCACAGTTCTCTATGTCACATTTCATTGTGTTAGATTCTAACTGGTTCCTGGAACCAGTCAGTCAAATACCTATAGAGATTTACAAGTAAGGCAAAAGTGTAGTCATCTCTAGCGCTATTATTCAAAAGCACTGTACCCTTGCTTTATTGTCCATGAATTGATCCATCTTATTTTTAAAAGCTATTTTGCTACTGTTTTATGAAATAAAAATTTGTTACATGATTGGGTTATATTCACATTTTAAAACTTAATATTTTATATTTCTGTCTGTAATTGGGGATACAACCCTAAGCATTCTTACCTGGAAATCAACTCTGTTGAATATAACATAACCAGATTGGAGTGCCACCTTCTGTAGCAGCTTTTAGAACTCGTTTAGAAGTTCTAAAAGCTTCCAGATTGTACTTCTAGTTAACCGTTTAAATTTACAAATTAAAAAATGGAAAAACTACATTTTGCAACATTTTTGCATTATTTTTATTTTTATCAATAAAGCAAAAACAGTTTTTCTTTCCATGATGCAGAAAACATATTCATTCGTTTTAGTCCGCATTTAGAATATCGTTTGGTTTGTGTTCCCCATTTATTTGTAAATTTCATTCAATATGTAAAATTTTGTTTTATTTCTGTACTGATGGTACAGTACAGTGGTACCTCGGTTCACGAACTTAATTCGTTCCGTGACTCTGGTCGCGAACCAAATTGGTCGTGAACTGAATCAAATTTTCCCATAAGGTTCAATGTAAATACGGTTAAACCGTTCTGAACCATGTTTTTTTTTTTTTAAACCGCAAAAATATGACACAAAGTATAGCACGAAGAGAGAGAAGGCTAATCTTGCTCGACGGGACTTCTG